ATATAAGAGCTGATTTCTTCTGTTGTCTATTACAATGTACAGTACACCAGTATATAAACATTTAACAGTATACCAGAAATGTTACAAATGGTGCAAAGGTATCATTAAAATAATATCAAAGATGGTTGACACATACCCACTACCATTAAAGTATGCTCCTCACTTAGTGACAAATTCGTTTACCGACGTGGTCATAGGATGAGAACTCCCACAACATTGATGATGCAGTCACTGAACATTGTTGATGGTGCAGTCACACAACATTGTTGATGGTGCAGTCACACAACATTGTTGATGGTACAGTCATTCATCTTTGTTGATGGTACAGTCATTCATCTTTGTTGATGGTGCAGTCACACAACATTGTTGATGGTGCAGTCACACAACATTGTTGATGGTACAGTCATTCATCCTTGTTGATGGTACAGTCACACAACATTGTTGATGGTGCAGTCACACAACATTGTTGATGGTGCAGTCACACAACATTGTTGATGGTACAGTCACACAACATTGTTGATGGTACAGTCACACAACATTGTTGATGGTACAGTCATTCATCCTTGTTGATGGTACAGTCATTCATCTTTGTTGATGGTACAGTCACACAACATTGTTGATGGTACAGTCATTCATCCTTGTTGATGGTACAGTCATTCATCTTTGTTGATGGTACAGTCACTCATCTTTGTTGATGGTACAGTCACTCATCTTTGTTGATGGTACAGTCATTCATCCTTGTTGATGGTACAGTCATTCATCTTTGTTGATGGTACAGTCACACAACATTGTTGATGGTACAGTCATTCATCCTTGTTGATGGTACAGTCATTCATCTTTGTTGATGGTACAGTCACTCATCTTTGTTGATGGTACAGTCATTCATCCTTGTTGATGGTACAGTCATTCATCCTTGTTGATGGTACAGTCATTCATCTTTGTTGATGGTGCAGTCACTCATCTTTGTTGATGGTACAGTCACTCATCCTTGTTGATGGTACAGTCATTCATCTTTGTTGATGGTGCAGTCACTCATCTTTGTTGATGGTACAGTCACTCATCCTTGTTGATGGTACAGTCATTCATCTTTGTTGATGGTACAGTCACTCATCTTTGTTGATGGTACAGTCATTCATCTTTGTTTTATGGTACAGTTACTCATCTTTGTTGATGGTACAGTCATTCATCTTTGTTGATGGTACAGTCACTCATCTTTGTTGATGGTACAGTCATTCATCTTTGTTGATGGTACAGTCACTCATCTTTGTTGATGGTACAGTCATTCATCTTTGTTGATGGTACAGTCATTCATCTTTGTTGATGGTACAGTCATTCATCTTTGTTGATGGTACAGTCACTCATCTTTGTTGATGGTACAGTCACTCATCTTTGTTGATGGTACAGTCATTCATCTTTGTTGATGGTACAGTCACTCATCCTTGTTGATGGTGCAGTCACACAACATTGGTGGTGATGCAGTCACACAACATTGGTGGTGATGCAGTCACACAACATTGGTGGTGATGCAGTCACACAACATTGGTGGTGATGCAGTCACACAACATTGGTGGTGATGCATTTCACACAACATTGGTGGTGATGCAGTCACACAACATTGGTGGTGATGCAGTCACACAACATTGGTGGTGATGCAGTCACACAACATTGGTGGTGATGCAGTCACACAACATTGGTGATGGTACAGTCACACAACATTGATGGTGATGCAGTCACACAACATAGGTGATGGTACAGTCACACAACATAGGTGATGGTACAGTCACACAACATAGGTGATGGTACAGTCACACAACATTGGTGATGGTACAGTCACACAACATTGGTGGTGATGCAGTCACACAACATTGGTGATGGTACAGTCACACAACATTGGTGGTGATGCAGTCACACAACATTGGTGATGGTACAGTCACACAACATTGGTGGTGATGCAGTCACACAACATAGGTGATGGTACAGTCACACAACATTGGTGATGGTACAGTCACACAACATTGGTGGTGATGCAGTCACACAACATAGGTGATGGTGCAGTCACACAACATTGGTGATGGTACAGTCACACAACATTGGTGATGGTACAGTCACACAACATTGGTGATGGTACAGTCACACAACATTGGTGATGGTACAGTCACACAACATTGGTGATGGTACAGTCACACAACATTGGTGGTGATGCAGTCACACAACATAGGTGATGGTACAGTCAAAACCCCCTTGGTGGTGATGCCGTCACACAACATAGGTGATGGTGCAGTCACACAACATTGGTGATGGTTTACAGTCACACAACATTGGTGATGGTACAGTCACACAACATTGGGATGGTACAGTCACAAACATTGGTGATGGTAACAGTCACACAACATTGGTGGTGATGCAGTCACACAACATTGGTGGTGATGCAGTCACACAACATTGGTGATGGTACAGTCACACAACATTGGTGATGGTACAGTCACACAACATAGGTGAT